GAGAGAGAGAGAGAGTGATTTTCCAGTATATCAACAAGTTTTTCCAGATCATCCAAAGAACGGGATGAATAATGGCAGACGCATACTCCTATGCATTGATTCAAAGGTGAGAATCCCAAATTCAAAGCATCATCTGGCTCATACAGTGACTTCCTGAAAATACTGGGAATAGCTTTTTCCAGGTGCAATAAAGATCAGATCTTCCCATCCAGAGTTTCTCTTGTTCAACTACACAAAGAAAAGCATGAGTTAAACCGGAGTATTGCTCAGATAATACTTGCTGAAAAAGGCCAGATAATAATTGCTAGAAGAATGGTGTAAAGCTCTACTCACCTCCATTTTCTTGAGAATATCTTCTAAGCTTCCGACCTATCAGCGAAAGAAATGCAATGTCACCCACCAAGACCACAAATCTTTCTAAGTTAGTTGGTCATTACAAAATTAAGGGAATTTCAAGTACCACAATGCGCTGAGATGAGGCTGGTCCTCTTGATGCCCTCGAGACCTTCAAAAGTTCTCGCTCGATATCTTCCTACAATCATGTAAAGTACAACTGATCAGCAAAAGGGGCCCATTGGAGCTTGAACTTGAACCATGGATACTGATTTCTAGCGAGAGAGAGAGAGCCGCATGATGGAGAGAGGGAGATAATGGATAGTGAAGAAACCTTTTGGAAGTATAGGGGGCAATAGCGCCTATTCCTCTTCTTAACAACCAAAAGATCAGACTGTTGATACAAAAAGAATAAAATGAAAATTTTGTTGCAAACACTCGAGAATCTAAAACAACACAAATAAGAAAGAGAAATAAAAGGTAAGAAGCAGGAGATGGCCTTCCAAGTAGCTTAAGCATCCATACCTGAAATACTGGAACACCATCAAAGGCCTTTGAAAGATCTGAATTCTTTAGCTGGAAACAAAAGCATTGGCAGCCATAATCAAAAAAACCTATACCATGTAAATATCCAGACAGTGCATTTCATCCATCCATGTCCTTCAGGTGATAATCAATCAGAAACGCATGCAAGCATGATCCTGAAGGTAAAGTATTTGGCAAGGTTTGGGCCTCAGCCCAAAAAGTTAGGCACACCATCTTTTTATTTGGGAGGGTCAGTGGTAGGAATCGAACTTGAGATGTAGCATTGCTAACATCAACTGCCAACACTCGAGCTGCAGTCCGATTCCTAACCCTCATCCTACATCTTTTGGATTACTAGCACCCCATAAATCTAGAAATCCATCTTCTTGACGCCTAACATCAAGACCCTCAAAAAAAATGGTTCTGAAGCCCTAAGACTGTCAAATTTTTAAAGTCATGCATATGATCCAGCATGCAATCTGGAAGATCACATATATTTGCACCATTTTAGGAACTCCAAAATCCATTTTGTAGGGCAGAAATGGATTTGCAGGGCTTTAGGATGGGTTTATTCCTCAACCCAATAAAAGATGGATTTGGAGTGGAGACTATTGGTGTCTGCAAGAACCGCAAGCCTTATGGTTTTTGCATGAGGCAGAGGCCTCATGCTAACACTACTCAACAGAAAAGAATGGTAAAAAATTGAAAAACATGTAGTTCTTAGTGATTCAAATAATAGTTGGACATCACAAAATGAATAACGGAAATGCAGATTTGTTGCAAAATATTTTATTGACCGATCTATAACTGAAACCATGTGTAGTCATAGTTAACAAACGAATTTCAGCCGAATGTACATAACAAAAAGTATTAACAAGACAGACTGACATCGACATCTCTTTACTACGGCCAAGGCCATCAAAGCAGGGCAGCGTAATTAGAACCGGACCATACGGCCAGTTCAGACAGGAACTAGACAACTGGTGGCTATTCCATTCCATTATGGTTTGATCTCCTGGACTGGATTGCCCACTGACTGGGCACGAACAGGTGGACTGACCAGGCTGGTCTACTAGTTCAAGACTGAACCGGCCGGTCCCTATAGCCCTGTGAAATTACTTTTTCCGCCCCTTGTTTATTTTTTGTTCATTTCACCACCTTTCGGGGTGGTTCTTTTGTTCTTTTTCACTTTCTGTAGGGATTTTTGGTCTATGGCCTTGAAAGAATGGGTTCTGAAGTCTTAAAACCTTTTTCAAAAGACAATAGTTTGGCGATTTTTCTTTCTCCCTCTCTCTACCTAAAAACTCCCCAACCCTAGCCCGATTTTTACGATGACCTCCTGTGAAGATTCCGGCCATCAATCCGCCCCATTTGAAGTCCCAAGTAAGTCTATTAAACCATTTTCTTGCATTTTATGTTTTGTGATTAAAAAAAAAAAAAAACATTTTTTAAGGTTTTTTTGTCAAGTGTTTTTTTCTTTTCAAATCAATACAAAATAATGTTTCTTTTGCTTATTTTAATGATTGTTTCATCATTATTAAGTTTGTTGTTGTATACTTTCGCTTTCTAGGAAGACTTGTATGCCAATGTTAAAACAAATGCCAAGTTTGTTTCGCTTTTATTTTCCTTTGCTCCTTTATTTTCGTTCTATGGCACTTTAATCATCAAAGTGTTAAAATAAGGCCTGGTTTAGTACTTTAATCAAACTATGGGGTATAGAAAACACTTACCCTCCAAATATGTCACTTTATTTTCGATTTCTTGGTAAGTTTATTGTTTTCCATTTTCAAGTTGATCTACTTTAATTTATTCTGATATTTTCGGTTTGATCTATATGCATCTTTATTTTCAGTTTGATCTTTTTCTAACTGAATCTTGTTTTTTATGCATTTGTTTGTTCCATTAATGCTTGAAGGCTATCATGGTGCCATGGAAATTGTCATGAAAGATGTTCCAAATTGATATTATGGTTTTTTATTAGCATTTGTATGTGGATGAAAATTTGTTTTTTTTTTTCCTTATGCATTATTTTGTTTCATTAAAGCTTAAACTAAATTCTTATATTAAAAATAGAAATTTTTTTCAAAAAATACCTAAAAGAGATTGTTTCTTATGTTTACGGTCGATAATCCACAAGAATGGAGAGATTGAGGAAGACGTCACACATAGAATTAGAGCTAGGTGGCGAAGTGGAGATGTGCATCTAGACTTTTATGTGATCTCCGCAAACCATTGAGACTGAAGGGCAAGTTATATAGGAAAGCTGCAAGACCAGCCATACTTTATGGGATAGAATGTTGGGTGTTCAAAAAACAACATATCTATAGGATGAGCATGGATGAGATGAGGACGTTGAGATGGATGAGTGGCAAGACAATAAAAGATGGAATTCGAAATAAATACATACGACTATAATTAGATATGGGTTCAATAGGTGACAAGATGAGGGAAAGTAGACTTAAGTGGGCTGACCATATAAAGTGTAGACCCAATACAACACCGGTTAGGAGGTGCTATTTGGTTCAAGTAGAAGGATCTAAAAGGGAAGGGAAAGGCCCAAAAAGACATAGATAGAAATAGTGAAAAAAGATATGGTGACGTTGGTCTTACTAAGGATATGGCCCTTGATAGAAAAGAATGGAAGAACAGGATTCATGTAGCCGACCCCAAATAATTGGGATAAGGCTTGGAGGAGGAGGAGGAGGAGGATGATAATGGAAATGGGAAAAAAAATTGTAGTTAGGATTTTAATAAAGGGTTTTTTGAAAAAAATTATTGAATTATTAAATTCATGTTGTTTATTTCTTTTGATGTATGGTTGGTGAACTTAAAATTATTGATTTTTGAGGTGCACTTGGTGGTGGTTTGGAAGTATGGAACTTTTTAGTCTGAGATTTCGTGTCGGTTGATTACTTGTTTGAGTTTCGTTCTTGGAATTGGAAGTTGGAAATTTGCGTGATTAAAATAGTTGAATTAGGAACTTCAAAAGTTAAATATGGCTTCTAGTAGGTCTAATGGGGGCATGTTAGACGAAAAAAGAAAGGTAAGAAATGGGAAAATATAGGCATGCAACATTCAAGACAAATAAAGGGAGGGAAATACATAAGGTGAAGGAGAATTTGGAGAATAAGAAAAGAAATGTGGCCAAATGCCCTAACGTTCCCCTCACAGTATACACGACATGCAAAGGAGCAATGTAAAACATTGTAGTGAGAAGCAAAAGGGGCAGGCAATAGTTGATTAGATAGAGAATATCCTCACATGACTCTTATAGAAAAGGATTTTGAAGAAAAACAGGAGCGTCAATTGTCTAGGACAAGGAGGGCAGGGAAAGAGCCTGCTGGCACACCACCTAGTGGGACCATATCTAGCAGGCCTAGGAGGCCTGGGGAGATGGGGGACTATTTCCCACCTAGGACAACACCTGGCTCCTAACCAACCATCAAAAGTGTGTTGGCTGGAGAGAGAGCACATATGTGTTTGGCCCGGTGGATGTATCGCACTTTCATCCCTTTCAATGCAGTACATATCACAATTTCATCCCTTTCAATGCAGTACATATCACAATTTCATCCCTTTCAATGCAGTCTGCTCCATGTTTTCTCAGCCTCTGTAGGATGCAATTACATCCATTGGCCTAGAGTTTAAAGGCCCTAATTATCATGATGTGAGGAGTACGTTGCTTGCAGAAAATGTAGAGTTTCACAAAGAGCTTTAGGGGGATATGGGTCATCCATACAGGTCCTATTATCACTGATGAATGGAAAGATAAGAGGGAAGGGTAGCTAAAGTTTACTGCCATAAGGGTGCTGTTTCATTGAGGTCCATGGATGTGAGAGATATTATTAGGACCAGGCCGGAAGTGGTAGGGCGGTTTAGGGAGGCTGTAGAGGAAGTTGGGCCAAAGCATGTGGTCCATTTCATTACTGATAATGCGGACAACTACACCCTTAGGGGGCAGTTGCTGCAAGAGAACTAGCCTCATATCTTTTGGCCCTCTTGTGCTGCACGATGCTTAGATTTGATGCTTGAGCAAATTGGGTGATGTCCCATGTTGAGTCGGCTGTAGAGGAAGCAAAGTAGATCACAAAATTTATCTACAACCACTCATTTTTTCTCACTTCCATGAGGAAACATACAAATGAGAGGGAGGTAGTGGGGCCGCAATAACTAGATTTGCCACTAACTTTTTTTTTTTTTGAGAAATTAGATTTGCCACTAACTTCTTCACCTTGCCAAGTATGATGCAACAAAAAGGATGGGTTGAGAGCCATGGTTACTTCATCAGCCTGGCGTGATTATGTTTGGGCCAAGAAGGAAGTCTATTGGGAAGGTCATGGTGGAGCAGATTTTAAGTAGGTAGTTTTGGACCTCAAAGCCCTTGGTGGAGGTATTAGGATCTTTGATAGTGACTCTATGCCTGCCATGGAGCAACATATATGAGACTATGGATAGGGCAATGAGGCAATAGCTGCAACATTTAAGTATACGAAGAGCCAATCTGAGAAGTACTGGATATTATAGATAATATATGGCATATGCAGCTGGTTACTGAGCCCAACCCACAATTCTTTTGGCAGAAAGCCAAATTTTCTACCATCCTGAGATTAGAAGGGGGCTTACATTCCTTGATAGATAGATATATAGTTTACACCCAAAGCGAAATATGCAAATCAAGATTGGGAAGGAAATGAGCTTATATGAAAAGGTCACAAGAGAATTTGGGGGACAAATGGCAATCAAC